ACGACTCAGTGTTTTCGTTCGGCAGATTGCAGTCTTCGGCTGACAAGTAAAGGAGAACTGTCGACCTAGTACACTATAAACCATTTTACTTTCCTCGTTCGTCATGATCTTTATTAGGACGATCGCGTCGACCAAATACGGATTGATTGATGTCTTCCATTGTATGCTGAATGAACAATAACCATCAAAAATGTAACCTTGTCCCATTTTCAATGTATGAGGTTCATTTTGTATTTCAACATTTAGACAACATACCTAATCATACTGAAGCAAATACATAAAGATATCTTAATCTGTTACTAACGTTTTATCATATCACATGTTTACATAAAACCTGTATTAGATCAACGATGGCTACGTGCACTAGAGTTCGTGTCGGCATAGCTTCTTGTGAAGTTTACTGGATCCGGTTTTGAAGGGTACGGGTGGTGGTGACTGAGATCGACAGGGCTTATCCTGCCAAAGGGGGCAGTTGACCTTATGTTAACGTAAGTAGCAATAGAGGTCCTTGTGAAAGAGTTCGTCCGGGGAAGTATCTTACCTATTTCTGTCACCAAACAGTAATGTCAACATTACTGTGTTCCGGTTGTGAAGGGCTTCTTGAAATATAGGATGAACCCATTACCTTCTGGTCTTCCGGCGGCATAGCGTCCGTCTTTTTAACGCATGAAAATATATCGCATATACACGCCGCTGTGTATCCGTTTATAATCGAATAAAGTCAAAGTCAAAGTCAAAAAACGCGCAGGACAATGCCGTTTGAATTAAGGCTTAGAGGTCAGTCTATGCAATTGGGAGGTACGACGCGACAGAACGATACACAAAAGGCTTCAGTTTTATAACTGGCTTTGCTAATGACTAATTTGCACCGGCAGTTTATCAAAGTCAAGTTTTTATGTTGATATACATATATCACATACAATACAATTTTAAAATAAGGTGACGATCATCATTGAGGCGTAGTGTCTATAGTACCATTGATTTGTACCATCAATGGTACAAATGATACTACTATGTGTCCTTAGTACCATCAATGGTACTACCGATACTAGCACGTGTCGCTAGTACCATTGCATCGAAATCATACAAAAAATATATACATATAATAGGGGTTTAATAGTAAATAAATAATTCCAACAATTCATTGAGGAAAAAACCTTCTTGGCTGTTTCCGCTACGTTTAAGTGCTAGATTAAATCCTGGCCACTTCAAAGATTACAATCTTCTTTTAAATAACTCATTGGAAAGCATCTTGTCTTTTGCCGTAAACAAATGATTACATTGACATTATAAGTAAATGTATTAATTGTGGGATGGATTATGTGTTTTTAATTAAAAAAAACGTATTCAATTCTAAACCTAAGGGATAAAATGGATATTAGTAATGAAAAACCAAATGTGAGCAGTGACCAAAATGATATAAAAATAGTCGCTCGTGGACGCGGCAAAGTGTTACTCTACAACGGCCACCAATATTATTTCCACGTGCGGTATAAAAACAACAATTGTTTGTGGAGATGTAAAAATTACAAAACCTTTAACTGTACTGGATCCGTTACGATTACCCAGGTAAAGTTTTAAAAAAAAAAGTTAATTAGCTTTTTTTATTTTTGCTTAGGGTCAATTCATGTTTAAGCTAATTTCGACCTTATTGGCATTTTGTAACTGTAATGATTTTTCACACTTCTTTGATTAGTTCATTTTTGTATTAATTAGGCTGGTTGTTTCTGTGTACATTGTTTAGTGTAGTAGCCATTGTACATTGAAGTTTGCGTTGTGTGTGACATGTCCATCCGATAGGTATTTGTATATTTTTATTTTATTTTTAATTTTTACATTAAAAAAATACAAATTAATTGTAGCCGTACAAAAGTTCAAAAATTTAGTATCAATTTCTGTTTACTCCAGGATCAGTCAAAGTTGGTACAACAAAGGCAGCATTCAGAGAACTGTTTACCAGACGAAAATGAAAACATTATGTGTATTATCACAAGCTCAAGCTTAGACAGAGCAGCATCAAATGTCGAAGAGACAGTACCTGCGGTTTACAGAACTACCATAGCATCAATGAAAGATACAGGACTACACTTGATTAAGAAATTACCCACGTATAACAAATACAAATGCAAAGCATACAGAAGAAGAAGGAAATTGGCAGGAGTTGAGAAGATGGCATACAATGACATGAAAGAAGTTGAAGTGCCTCCAGATGACTTCCTTCTTGCTGATTACCGTGATGGCAACGATCGTATCCTGATTTTTGCTCTAAAAGAAGCGAGGGAAATTGTGCTTAACGGAAAAGTGTTCTTATGTGACGGGACCTTCAAGAATTGCTTGAAACCGTTCTATGAGCTTTATGTACTTTTTTGTGATATAGGCAGCACCGCAAATGAAAATAATGTGATTCCTGTAATATACGCACTCCTACCGAATAAGAAACAGAAGACTTATTTGATTATGTTTGAACTAATCAAGTCACAGATACGGATGTCTACAAACGAAAAAAACTGGGAATGGGAACCCCATAAATTTATAACAGATTTCGAACAAGCGGCAATAAATGCCATTGAACGTGCATTTCCCCAGGTGTTACATCACGGTTGCTACTTCCATTTCCTGGATAAAATTAAAAGGAAAGCTACGCAACTTAAAATCCTACATAAATTTAAAAAAAATAGTAACAAAAACTTAAATAAAATATAGGAAATGAAACTATTTTTCCGGATTTAAATCGCGTATATTTGTTTTTTCAAACAAACCGACGTTTCGGGCCCTTTACAGGTCCCATGGTCACGGTTGACCATAAATATATACGCGATTTAAATCCGGAAAAATAGTTTCATTTCCTATGTGTAACAATCGCGAAAACCTAAGAACTCGGTTAAATAAAATAGTGAGCTTGTGCATGGTTCTCCCTCTTTTGCCAGAGTCCAAAATAGAAGAAGGTCTGAATTATATAATTGCAGAGAGTGTAATTATTGGTACTACAAAAGAAGTTAATGATTTGTTAAAGTATATAACACATTTTTGGATGCCGAAAAAAGCACAGTGGTGCAGTTTTGGCGAGAGACATCGAACAACGAATTGTTGCGAAGCATGGAACGGTCAATTTAACAAGCGTTTTATGAGAAAACCTACCACAACATGCCAATTTCTAAAAGTTCTAAAAACAGATGCTGCATACCATTCCGTAAATGCTTTGACAACAGAGCCACAAAACTTAAGATCAAAAGCGGTGATCGACCGCAACAATTACATTCAACACGTGCAAATGCAATTAATTCAAGGCGACATTACAGTCGCATTGTTTTTAGAAAAATTGCGTCGTTAGAAAATGTGAGTTTTATTTTCACAAGTAAATACACGGTATAAACAAGTATAATTTTCAATGGTACTAAGGACACATAGTAGTATCATTTGTACCATTGATGGTACAAATCAATGGTACTATAGACACTAAGGCATCATTGATTTACAAATAAATGGACGACGGGTCTAATACAAAAACCACGAAAAAAATGTCCCAAGACAACCTATTTAAACGTAGTGACATGTAAAGGAATATGAAAAAGCTAAAACGTTAAATTTAAATTCTAATGTCATCGCAGTACTGTCTAAATTTGCTTGCTTCGCTGTCAGTCGAACAAACGAAGACTAAAGCGTGAATGACGCTCTGTATACGATTTTAACGCCCTATAAGTTCGGACACTTTTTAGCGCGGACCCGACGTCCACATAATTGTAAGTCAATGGATGATATGAAAATAATGTACCCTACTTAACGTGAACACAATAATCAAATTTCATTAACAAAAAGTGCATAATGACAGTAATAAGAAATTTGCATCTGATACTTATGAGAAGACAATAAATAAAACAAAACCTATTGCAAAGTCAGCACATAATACACTTTTTAATAGAGTTCCTAGCTGAAGTCACAGAACCAGTGAAAATGTCAAAATCAAACCTGATAGCATTGTAAGAAGAGCACACTCGATACAGTGGACAGTGTTGACCGAGGTTTGTTTTACAAATCGGAAGTGAAAAAGTTTCACGGCTGTGTAGGTGGGTACCAAGACGAGCGACGTCAGGCCCTATTTACTAGGAAACGTGAAGTATGTACTTGTTTAACTAGATATCCCAACCGCTTGGCTGGCCCCTCTCATAACACTACTTGCTTATCTAGGAATTGCTATAATATGTCTATAAAGATATAGATATAATACTTTGCTTGCAGCGATCGCAGACTTACCCTTAAACATATTTAAAAAGAAATTATTTGACTTGTTATGTGATCTGTGTATACATGTTATCAAAGGTTTTTTAAAATTACACAAACTCGTTTTTAAGAATAACTGCTTCAATATATTTATAAGATTTTTAAATAATTTATCTAATGTAATTATATTACTACAAGGACTTACTTTTAAATCACAATTGACAAAATGGTTTGTAATTGTAGAGACAAATGTGGAATACAATTAACATTTGCACACCTGCATGCAGGTTGCATACAATGTTGGGTACATTTTACTCAAGATCTGTATAAATACTGTATTCCGGCAAATAAACGTATTCTATTGTATACTATTCTGTGATAACGTAATGTAGCTGTTTACATTTAAAATTATTTTTTAATACAGTTGCTCAAAACGTGGTATTTTCGTACTACAAATGGTGCCGAAAGTTGTATTTTTCGCACTAGTGCTTTTTATTTCCATTTTTTTTAATTTACTGTTGTTTCAAGTCTTAAATATAGAACTAAAGAGGTTGTATATTTATTTAATATCTATGTGCTTTGTGAGGTAACTCGTCATTAAAACTTACATTTACTTACAAACATCTTATTTGTTATATTGCATAGGCATTTAAAAATACCAAAATATTTTCCATAAACATGGTTGATTGAGGGTCGTATTTCAGAACTCTACTCAATGCTCAAGTCAGGATTTGAGTATGGTTTAAAGCACTCGAAATCATACTCAAGTCCCTGCCATTAGGGTCGTATTTCCAGTGCTTGTGTTACCAGTGCAATCCTGACTCTAGCATTGAGTAGAGTTCTAGAATACGACCCTGAGTATTAACAATGACCGGAGGTGAGTATTACGCGAGAGCGTCGCGCCACTAAAATTAAGTAATTTTATTGTGGCTGAATACTGGCAACAGTTGCCATTGTACTCTGAATTTTTAACAGACAAAGAAATAACATGAGTTCTTTTTAAATACTGTTTTATTTTACTTTCAATGTAGTTTTTACGCAAATGTATTAAAAAACGTCGTTTGGTACACGCATTTGTCATTGGCACTTGCCGCGGGTCTTGACCCTTGCCTCTGGGTCGGGCCAATAAGCCTCGAGACTCGTCAATAGTGACTAACATTCCGCACTTGTATCAAAAATAACTATATAAGTTAAATGATATAGAAAACGTTTTTGAATACGTTCAATTCTATCTGAATTAACTTTAGTTTTAATCTTTAGTTAGAATAAAATATTGTGAATTGTGTATAGTCAGTGTAGAGCTATTGGTTGGTGCTTCTTCTTCTTCTTCTTTAGCCATTCTCTACCTCTAAGGCCTCCTTCAGTTTATGCCATCTTTCCCGAGGCCTGATTCATGACCAGATCGGGTAGTCTCGAAATCAGATGGATTTCTGAGCGAGAAGATGAACCTGATTCCTACTATATCTTTCTAATTTGTGAGTTAAATCAAGTATTGTTCCGATTAGAAATGTCAAAGTCTCCGATCGGTCAGTTGCGATTCAGAATTGTGCGCCTCGACTTAGAAAGACGCAGGCGCAGTTTCCGATCGGGAGAGGCAATTAAAATCAAGCTCGTCTTGAGTCGTTTCTAACCACTTTGTTATCGTCGTACCAGCGCATCTGTGGTCTTCTTCTTGGACTTCTTTTTTTAATTTACTTACCATTTCAATTACTTTTTGACAAACAAAATAAGGTTCTTTATCAGGAGGGTTTGGTTGATACGCTTAATATTACAGTCACATAAACACATAAACATTACATTCAGTTACCAACATTACAGTTTTTCAATATTTACCTACAATGTATCTAACAAATATTGTTTTATTGCATTTGTAACCGACATTTTTACTACCTTTAATGTTTTTTACGTGTGACGGAAGACGGTTAAACAATGTTGGAAGTAAATACTCCTTAGTTCTTTTCCCATATACGTTATTTGTTCATCATTGCTTGTCTTGTTGGATAATTACAATTTTTTTGATACTTTGTATTCATGACCTGAATATTCTTGTAATATTTGAGAAAGCAGACTTTTTTTTTCAAAAGGTACTATCTTACATATTTTAAATAAGATGTGATAATTTTGGGTTCCTTGGCATGATAGAGAGTATATAGAAACGCACGAGGAGTACTATAAACAAGTACGTTGAATCTGCCTAATATCTCTCGCAATCTAGTACAAAGAACATCTCTATGTATCGACCAACTAAATCGATCATCTACGTTATTGTGATAGAACCAGTTAGTATTTATAGGGGTTATCCCTAACATATCTATAAACATGCACTGGTACACGCAATGCCACCGCGATGCAGGCACTCGAATGAGTGCCCTATCAAAAAAAAAAGTTGTTCTGCGGTTCCTAGTTTCCTCTTATGCCCTGAACATATGTGCATGGACTTTGTTTTATTTATGTTTAGAATATCATAATTATTAATACAAAGATCGAATATTCAGAAAAAATTCCTTCGATCCGGCCGGATTCGAACCGACGTCTACCAGCTTACCGTGCCAGACGCTATACCAACTAATAAGCCACGGAACGAACCAACGGACATTACGAATTTTTCTATGTGCTTGCGTCGTATCTTTGTATTTGGTTTTTCAATAACTTTTTAGTCGTAGCGCCATCTATGAGAAATCTATGATATTTCATCACCCACTTAGACCTTTACAGCTATCAGCCCCGGCTAGAGATGTCGCTATTCATTGTATTTAAATTTTTATTGAATTGATATTCAATTGTAATAATAACAAACTAGTGGAATAATTTCACATAAAAATAATTGAATGTTAATTCAATAAAAATTTAAATATATTTAGAAGAATTCCTTGGCATGTGCCCATCTGTTCAGGTCATTAAAGTCCTCCTGTAGATTCTGCAACAATGCGGTTAGGTCTTGTCCTGCGCTCATAAAGCATGTACCGTCCGCAAACATATAACATTTACATTTTTTATTACATTAAGCATTGACGTGGAGTATGTAACATAAAGGTCCAGTTACAGACCCTTTTAAGTTGGTGATTGTAGCAATAGAATAGTACAAAGAGAAAATGGCGGAGCTCAAGTCTGCGGAACTCCACGAACTGTTGGTATACGTGCCATGCAAACTAAGCGCTTCTACTGTATATATTATTCTGTGCTTGTAATGTAGTTTATTAAAATTTGTTTTTGTTATGAAGTTTTGATGAATATTAATGGG